TGTTGCTTCAGTTTGATGTGTGAACTGAGCCCCTTTGAGAGACCCAGGAAGGACAAGACCACCGCTGGTTTTGGCATAACCAATGAATCCCAACACCCCCTCCCCTCTTTCTTACCACCCCTCCCCTTTTTACCTCCCTTCCTCCTTTCTAATCTTCCTTCATTTCTTCCTTCCTTCTTTCCCCATTTCCTTCCTTCCTTCCTCCTTCCTAATCTTCTTTCCTTCCCTTTATCTTCCTTCCCTCCCTCCCTCCCTCCCTCCGGAATGCAGGCTCCTCCACCAGGGGGCAGCAACCCGAGCCGTCTTTGACCTTCATTCTTCCAGATTCCGTCTTGGAGCCTCTCCGCCTGCCAGTTGCTCAGCTCTGCAACACGTCGAGGGAGGACTAGAATTCCTGGAAGCCCTGCAGAGGTTTCCATCCCTGCTTTGAGAGGGAGCCACACTCCCGACCTTGGAGGAGAAACCGGGAATGCGAAGGGTGCCTTGCCTGCAGTGCAGCGCCCACCAGAGAAGCCGCTCCATCTCCCAGCTTTTCCAAGCTGATTGTTGAACCAGAGGGTGAGCCATGCTGGCTGGGAATGATGGGGGCTGTGAGCCAAGAGAGCTGGAAGGCGGCAGGTGGGGGAAGGCTGCTGAAGTGAATCTATACCTACCTGAAGGTTTTCAGCATAGCTTGCAAATCTTCAGACACTCAGAAGCGCCGTCCATTCAAGAAATACTGCCCCTCTCCCCCCAATTTTTTCCCTGCAGCTCCAGGTGCAAAGTGAGATTCAGCCCCTGAGCTCCTGCCCTGTTCGAGGGAAACTTGGGGGGGGGGCTTCCGTGGACCCTACACAAAGCATTTCTGAAAGCAGCCCTATTCATACCCTTATCTGCTTCTTCCCAGGAGCTGTGAAGTGGCATCTCCCACCGAGGTGTTTAATTTTTGCTTCTCCCCCAGAGGGTTTTGCTATGGGGTGGCAGGATTCCCAAAGGTTTCTCAGCCACCGTTTGTGGCCTAAGAAGTTATCCTGGCATGCCACAACCGTGGACCTCCTTCTAAATATTTGCTTTGAGAGGAACAAGGATAAAATCAGCTCTTAGTCAAGTGGAGCTGTATTCACACCTCCTTCAGCCCCAAAGTCCTTGGGGAAGGAAGGGCTGCTGGCGATCTGGTCACTTGCAAGATGGGGATTCCTCAGGGGGCTCCTCCACCAACTGCCCCTCCTTGTGCCTGGGCCATCTGGGTTTTGGTGTTCTTATTTTTATTTTTCACTTCTAAAGAGGGAGAGCCAGCTGGGTGTAATGGTTACGGGATAAGGCTAGATGCTGGGTGACTGTGAGTTCTAGGTCTGCCTTAGGCATGATGCCAGCTGGGTGACTTCAGCCAATCACTCTTTCTCAGCCCTGGGAAGGGGGCAATGGCAAATCACTCCTCAAATCTTGCCACGAAAGTGGCAGAGGCCCACCCAGATAGATGCCAGGAGTCAGTACTGACTCAAAGGTATGTACACCGCACATACACACAAACACACACTTAAGCAGGCAGAATTCCTGCCATGTCCAAGAACACATCCTCTCTTCTGCACACACCTGATGACCTATGTGATCCCTACCAGAGGCATATGGACTAGCTACCTGAAGTTCTGCCTCTCTTCCAAAGTTGCTATCTCTCCCAAGTAATCTACCAGGATCAGCAGGTCCCATGGATTGCAGAGACTGCCTGACTCTTGGACTATATATATATCTGTGTATCTGTCTGTCTGTTTATATCAGGGGTCTCCAACTTTGGCAACTTTAAGCCTGGTGGACTTCAACTCCCAGAATTAAACCTGGTGGACTTCAACAGGGAGTTGAAGTCCACCAGGCTTAAAGTTGCCAAAGTTGGAGATCTCTGGTCTATATCATCTATCTATCCATTCTCCATCTATATTTATCATCTTTCTGTCTATATCAACTATTTATCACCTATCAAGAATCTCTCTCTCTCTCTCTCTCTCTCTCTCCATTCATCTCTCTGTCTATATCATCTATCCATTATCTGCCTGTCTGTCTCTGTCCATCCATCCATCCATCCAATTTAGAAATCTTTGCTGCCATCCGGCCATCATCAGCTTCTTGGACCAGGCAGAGCTGAGCAGCTCCGTAAGGTCACATCCTGCATCCAGCAATTCTCTCCCTGACCAAACCGAATGCCATTCTATGACCCACCATTGGTTTGGTTTTAACTCTGACCATTGTGAAAGCTTGGAGAGTCAGGGTTTATTCAGTAAGCCATGGTTAAGGGCTAGTTCGGAACTATTAAGGCTGTCAGTATGAAGACAGGCAGAGCTGACTTACCTGAGGCCCAACCTCAAGGATGACCCTCCATTGACCAACCCGGGGGTCTCCTGCCTGGCCACCTACTTTTCCTGGCCAATTGCAGGGGAGGAGGCATTCCTGAGGGATGGGACAGAAGGGCGTCCCCCCCCACCCCCCACCCCCCGCAGAAAAGCAGGAATGCTACAGGCATCTCCCCCCTTCAACTCCAATTGCTCTTAGCTGCGCGCTGGTGCCCGGAGGCCCCTTCAAAGCCTTCCCAGAGCTGCTCAGCCTGATGCCTGCGGGGGGGAGGGGAAGAGGGTTGGGGTCCCCCCGCCTTTGTTGTCACTCGGGGTTCCTGCACGCTCCCTCCTCTGCAGAAGTAAACAAACCTGCCCCGGGAAAGACAATAGCGAGCGGGCTTGTTCCTAGATATTTGTTAATTAGGGACATATGTCTCCTAAAGGAATCGTTGTGCAAGGGAGCGGGGTGGGGGGGGAGAACCTTCTGCTCGCCATCCCCCCTCATTAGCATGAAACGAAGGCCATTGGCTTGGGAGCTGTGATGTCACGGGGTGACTTGTAAACTCGGAGCGATTGGGGATTGTGAGCTTGGTTTGCGATCCCGACCTTCTGCTGGAAGCGAGAGGGAGGGCAAAAATTCATAGGGAAAAAAGTGTGAAGCAGGCGCCCGCGCGTCCCCGGAGCACATCCTCGCTCTCGCTCAGGCCAAAGGAGCCGAGGAATCACGGTATTAATTAGGGCGCAGGGAACGGGAGCGAAGGGAATCAAAAGGCAGGGCAGCCGGGAGCCGCCGACCCAGCCTTAGTGCCGGGTGCTCCGGCGCAGGGATTTCCACTTCGGATTCCCAGCGCTGTTGACTTGCCGGAGGCTCCTGGGTTGGCGCGTGTATGCGCGAAGCGGGGAATGTGACCTTCAGAGGAGGTCGGGGTGCAACCCGATCCCCCTTTCCCTTTCCCTTGAGCCCACGACCCCCGACTCCTCGCCCTCCCCCAAATCTCTGGGCCTGCTAAGACAGGAGAGACCACCTTCCAAGCTAGAAAGGCAGGAGCTGAATGGAAGTCTTTGGGGGTCCCAGCTGGGAGTAGGCGCCTCGGATGGCCAGACGGAATTACGGTCTGGCTGCTCTCCGCACCCCTTCTTTCTAGGGGGTCGTGTGCCCAGCCTTCCGCAGGCTGCCTCCCCAACCCTTGCACACACACACACACCCGAAATTGAGAGGGACTTTAATGGGGCCGGTTGGTGGTTTTCTGAAGGATGCTTCTGCCGAAGGGCTGGCTTGTCTTTGAGTTGCGGTGACCACAAGTCCATTAAGGGCCGCTTGAAGGTTTCACTTTCCCTGTCCACACACAGAGAGCGTAGGCACAAGCCACGAGTAAGCCCTAGTTTCAGAGAGAAGGTGCCAGGATTTATACCTCCCTTGGGTCTGATGAAACAATGAATCTGTTTCCTTTTGTCCACGGTTCTTGCAACTCAAGTGATTCCTGAATTCATGGGTGGGGTTTTTCATTCCATTCCCCTCTTCCCACTCCCCACCAGCATCATAGTAACACCTTCGATTTGGAGTGAAAAGACGAAGCAGCACTTTCCACCAGAAATGAGTGTTTATGAGAGATTTTATTCAACCTTTAGGTTTATACTGTGTTTCTAAAATCAAATTTAATAATAATCTACAAAGTTAGAAAATTATCATTAAGAAAATCTAAAATACAACCAAAGTATAAAAACAGCAGCTTAAAGCTGGCATACATACAAAATCGGACTAGTAACACCCAGTTTAAAAAAATCCCAGATGTTTAATATCAGCCAACAGTAGAAATGAAAACAACCAACGTAAGAACTAGAGAGAAGTTATAAGAACTGATATTAAAATATTGAAATGGGAGCTGGCAGATTCGAAGCCATGAAAACAGGGGACAGTGTCGGGGTTCAAGATGCTTGCAGTGCCCCCAAACGGCCAGAGATTAGCAGACTGAGGGCCACTGAAGGAACTGACCTCCCTGAGGGGCCCTTAGTCTGATCCCGGTCTTGAAAAGTTTGCTTAAGCCAAACCCGGCATCTTGGATGGGGCTCACAAGCGCCAAGGCAAAGTGGAATAAACATGCTGGCTGAGAAAAACTTTGCTGTGACTTTGGCCCCGGCTGCGGTTCCTGGAACTTGCCGAAGAGGCGTTGCGTGGCCCCCGCGGGAGATGCGGAGACTCGGCTGCACCCAAGGGCTCTAACCGCGCGAGGTTTGCCACCTTCCTGACTGCTCCCTCGCCTCCCCCGGCCCCGTTACTGACAGCCTCCGGCTCCCGCCCTTGCCCGAGCCACAGGCGCTTCTGCCCCTCATCACCTGCTCCACGAATCCCCCACCCCCCCTTTCTTTTCCACAAAAGAATAAAGGCCCACTGTACTCTCACCTCATTAAAAAGTGGGGGCTGCGCTCCTTTTATCGCATCCCGGAGCCCACAGGTCCTCCCGACGCTCGGTCCAATAAATCATAGCCCGGGAGTCGAATGGGGAGGGGGAGATCACAAAGATCGCCGCCCGCCCTTCGTTAGTCAGGACTGACGGTCCGAGGCGGGGCGGGCGGGCTGTGGAATCAGGCAAACTTCCTTCTCTTGAAAGCTGCAAACGCGGGAGAATCCAAGATTTTTCTCCCCAACAGGACGCGGGGGGAGACCTAATATTTTGCGCCTCCCCCTCCTCCTCCGTCCCCTCCCACTCGCCTGTTGTCCTTCGCATTTCCCTGGCACGCCGAAAAGCAAAAGGCGAGAGGAGGTTTCCAAAAAGATCGGGCAGGAGGCGACTCACAACAGCATCACAAATCATTCCGTCTCAGCGCTGCTCCCGAGAGATTTTTTTTTTGATGGATTAAATTAAGCGCTTCCATTTCCGTCCACCACCTGATCGCTGCATTATAAATCCGAACAGCTGATCCGCGAATCTTCAGAAATCCAGGCGCCTGCAAAGCAGAGGCTGCGGCAAGGAAGGCTGGGAGCTGTCCAGTGCTGAATGAGGAACCCCCAGCCAGCCAGCAATAACCGCCCCCCCGCCCCCCCAGCTCCCGCCGCCGCCGCCGCCCCGAAGCGGAACGACCGTGCCAATCGCAGCGCGCACACAGGCTCGGAGGCGCGCGCATTCCCGACCCGAGCAGGGGCTGCCGCACTGGAGGAGAGGACCGGCGGGGGGGGGCCGGACCGGCAAAGGACACCGAGCCCAGCCAAGCCGCAGCCGCAGCCGTCGCCGGCCGGGCTGGAGGGGCGCGCGGGCGCGGAGAGCGGCCGGCCGGGCGAGCCAGCGAGCCAACGAGCGCGCCACCGGCTGGGCACCGAGCGAAGCGGGCGCCGGGCCGGTCGGGAGCTGTCCAGGTGCTGACTCCGCCGGCCGCCTCTTATGAACCAGCGCGGCGTTGGCCGTGATCTCTCGAACTCCTGGGGGGCTCCAGAGGCGAGCTGGAGGGCAAGCGAGCGGCCTGCCGGAGAGGCGCAGCCTTGCCTCGCACAAAAGCCGCCGCCGCCGCCGCAGCTGCTGCGGAAAGGAGCACCGGCGCGGCGCGACCGCCCAGGCTGGAGACCTCCGCGGCCGGCGCCGCTCCCGTCAGGCCTTCGGAAGCAGGAGGCGAAGCAGCCGCAGCGGCGGCAGCAGCCCACAAAGCCATAGTCCCCGCGGTCGGCGACGGCCATCCCCGGGGCCCCCCCGCCTCCCTTCCTCGCGGCGGGCTCGCTCTTCCGCGCCTTCTGCCTTTCCTCTGACCCCCCCTCGCCGCCCTTTCTTGCCGCTGCTCTTTGATCGCCTCCCCCCGGGCCCCCCTCCCGCCCGGAGCCCACCGGCGGAAGCTGCGGGAGCCTTCTCACATTCCGGGGGAGTCCAGAACCATGCCCAGATCCTTCCTGGTGAAAAAGGTCAAACTTGACGATTTCCCCTCGGCGGACCTCGAGAATTCCTACAGCAGATCGCGGACCGACTTCAACTCCCGGCTCCATGACAAGGGTGAGGAGGGGGACGGCGCGGGTGGGAGAAGAGGAGGAGGGGGGGTCGGCCTCGGGATGGGCCGAGCGGGGGCGAGGGCGGGTGGCCGTGTTCCCTGCGCCCGGTTCGGAACTCCGAGCCAGCAGGCCGCGAGCACCCTGGCGGGAGCGAGGCGAAGCCCGCGGGGGCACCGGGCGAAGGAGCGCCGTCTTCCTATTCTGGAATGCGAGAGCCATATTGAGCGGCTCTGCGCCTGCTTGCCTGGCTCGCTGGCGGCGGCGGCGGCGGGGTTGACTCGGCATCTTTGGATGGAACGCAACCCGGCTAAAATTAGAGCTTGCGGGGACGAGGCGCGGGGGCGGCAGGCGGGCCTATTCCAGGGGATCCGGCTGGGCGAGAGGCAGGAGCGCGGGAGGGGCGAGGAGGGGTGCGGGCGGTGGGAGGCATTTCGCCGCAGTGGCGCCTGCCTTGCCAGCGGGGCCTTTTGTCTCGCGCGCGGCGAGTCCAAGGGCAAGCGCTAGGCTGCCTCCAACGGGCCGCTCCCCTGGGGCGCGCTCTAGGAGAGGCCTGCCGAGCCCCCGTGCCCGGAGGCCCCACCTCGCAGTCCGAGCGGACGATGCCGCCCTTCGGCCCAGGGAAGCCCCCTTCCCGCTTTTGTTCGGGGCAAAGCGGCTGCAGCACGTTGCATAATCGTCAGCATTTAGCTGGAGTGGCGGCGGGGGGGGAGGGTGATTAGCTTCCGCAACGCTGCAACCCCCCCGCGATGCCTTTGGTCTCCTGCAGAGTTGACCTTGGGGGAGGGGTTGGGGGGGCGAAAAGACGATGCCTTGCTCCTCTTCATCGGTCTACCCGCTCAAGGGACAGAGGCTCCCTCCCCCCACCCCTCCCGTTCGCCTCCGCGCCACTCTCCGGTCCCGCGGCCGTTTTCTGGCCCAGCAGCCGCAGGTGAACGGGCTGGGAAACCGCTCTAAGGACGGAGCCGGGAGCCGGAGCCTCGGGGAGCACTGCGGACATTGGCAGGAGGCGCCGGCTGGGCGGGCTGGAGAGGGATGCGGGGCACGGGGGCTTCTCCGGATTCCGCTTGTTGCCTCTACTAAGTGGGGAGTGCGGAGCTCTGGAGCTGAGCCCCGAAAGCATCCGTTAGCCACTGATCAGCATCTCTCCCCCCTTGTCAGGTGACTGTGCTAACGGATTCTCTCCCGCTGCCTTTTCTCCCCGGGCCTCCCTCTCCTCTGCCTCTTGCCCGCCCCCTCCCCTCCCCCCCCCCTCCTGGCCCCCCCCCCCCCCCCCCCGCTCACAGGTGGCTATATCAGCGACTACATCGCGCCGTCTTCGGTGTACGAGGGGGAGGGCGAGAACGGCCTCAAGGTGCCCCCGCCGACGGGCGTCATCTACCCGGGGACTCACGGCGACTCGGACCAGGCCGACAGCCCGCACTCGGCCTTGGCCGGGGGCTACATCAACGGCGACGCGGCGGTGAGCGAGGGCTATGCGGTCGACGCCTTCTTCATCACCGACGGGCGCTCGCGCCGCAAGGCGGCGGTGGTGGGCGGCGGGGCCGGGGGCGCGGGCTCCCGCCTGGGCCAGCCCCCTCCCGCCAGCGGGCAGCCCCCGCCGCCCCCGCCCCCGCCGCAGCGGCACACCTGCAGCGAGTGCGGCAAGACCTACGCCACCTCGTCCAACCTGAGCCGCCACAAGCAGACCCACCGCAGCCTGGACAGCAAGATGGCCAAGAAGTGCCCGACGTGCGGCAAGGTGTACGTCTCCATGCCGGCCATGGCTATGCACCTGCTGACCCACGACCTGAAGCACAAGTGCGAGGTGTGCGGGAAGGCCTTCAGCCGGCCGTGGCTCCTGCAGGGCCACATGCGCTCCCACACGGGGGAGAAGCCCTTCGGCTGCGCGCACTGCGGAAAGGCCTTCGCCGACCGCTCCAACCTGCGCGCCCACATGCAGACTCACTCCGCCTTCAAGCACTTCCGCTGCAAGCGCTGCAGCAAGACCTTCGCCCTCAAGTCCTACCTGAACAAGCACTACGAGTCGGCCTGCTTCAAGGGCGCCGCCCCGCCGCCGCTCAGCCCGCTGGAGGCCTGACAGAGCCCAGCGGGGCGCCCTCCTCCTCAGGCTGCCCCCCTCCCCCTCCCCCTCCCCCTCCCCGCCCCGCGAGGCTCCAGGAAAGCGGGCGGAGGCCAGGGGCGGGGCGAAACGCCCAGCGCCTCACCTGGACAGGTAACCCCCCCAGCCGCAGCCTCCCGGCCGCGCCCCCTCCCCTTCCTTTGCTGCTCCCGCGGAACGACGGGACCCACGCCTCCGCCCTGGCGGAACCCCTCCCGCGAGGGATCCTCTTTCCGCCCGAGGAGGCGTCGGTTGGTTTCCTTCCATGAAGCTGCCGAATTTCTATTTTCCTAAATGTTTACGTTTCCTTATTTTGATTTCGCTGTTTTAAGAGAAAAACAAGGACAAGAAAGGTAGAGAGGTATGTATTTAACTCGGAGGCGGTCTTATTTATTTATTTATTTATTTATTTATTTATTTATTTATTTATTTATTTATTTATTTGCTTACTTAACGAATGTATTCATTTCTTTCCCTGTTGGTTTATTGCGCGGGGCAGTGCCCCCTCCCTCCACGTTGCACTTTTGTGTTGGTTTTTAATTATTTTGTTGCTTTTAAAGCCGAGCCGACTATTTGCACCGCTGTTGACTTCCAATCCGTACGTTTGTTGCCAAGACTTCTTTACTATGCCAAAGTCTACGTCACTTTTTGAAGGGGGGGAAACGAGGAAACCAGGACTGGCCGTTCGTTCTTTTGTTTTTCTTTTTCCTTCTTTTGGTTTTGCTTTCTCCCCCCCTTTTCCGGGTCGGGGCGAGGGTGGGGGGGAAATGATCGCCATCCTTTCTAACGCAGGATTTTTTGCATGCAAGAAGAAATGTATTTAAATCTATGCCAATTTGATGATGCTTTTTAAAATTATTATTATGATGGATTTTCATTTGTAACACTTTACATCACTTTGTTTTCCTTTGCCAAACTTTTAGATAATAATAGTCTATTTGAGGGCAATATTCTCCTACTGAACTAATAGAAGCAATAATTAACGTAATGCATGTTATTTTTAAGACGATAGTAATACTGAGGAATCAGGTAACTTTTAATCCAACTTCTTAATAGCAACGGATATCAGGGACTTTGCCAGTGTAGTGAACTCGAGTTAATGAGGCGAACCTTCCTTCTCTTCTTCTTCTTCTCTTGTCTTTTAATGGATGCACACTGCCTGCCTTCTTCGACTTTCTTCCGAGTAGCTTAGTCAAGTCTCTGGGCTTGTAGCGCTTGCCTGGCCCGAGAAATACGAGCAACACCCCGCCCGAATCCCCCCTCCCCCCCCGCCCCCCCCTCCGGGGCCCATTCCCCATCCCCACCCCGTGGCTTTCAGGCTTTGCCAGCCCCACTCTCTGCCTCCGGGGGTGGGGGAAGAGAGGGCGTGGGATGCAGCCCAGCAGGGGTGGAGAAGCCCCTGTTCCCCGTTTCCCCCGCTTTCTTCCAGGGTCTCCCCCAGCACCAGAGCCTGCACCCAACAGGTGCCTTCCGCTCCATCGGTGGAGAGATGCCGCAGCGGGGAAGACTTTCCGGGGTCTCCCCAGGGACAGGTGTGCCTCCCGGTCAGCTGCCGGGTCGCTGATGGCTCCGGCTGCCCCCCTCCCAAGGCTTGGCCCTCTGGCACGGCCGCCTCCTCCGATCCTCCCGTTTCCCCGCAGGAACCTTCCGCCCACGTCACGGGCCTGCGTGGGAAGGAAGACTTCTCCTAAAGACATTGCCTTCCGTTAAGAACATTAAGCCCCCTCCCCGAAAGCCACGAGGACCCCCCCTTCTCTCCCACTCTTAAGCACTACTTCTCCTGTAGGTCTTTCCATTTTATGAATAACTTAAGAAAAATAAACAGCACAAAAGAATAAAAAAATACCTTAATAGAAATCAGGTAGAAGGAACTTGTATTAGCTAGCACCTCCTGTTTTTGTACTTAAGATAATTAACGATGCTACTAGAACAATGACTTCTAATACTAATATTGCTATTAATACTCCCTCTTGCTGACTTAAAAAGGGAAACGACGCGGATGCTTTGTAAATACCGTTTGGAAATTTACATGAATTTTTACAAGCTGTTAAAAGAATTCTGAGCCTGTTTGTGGGGGGGTGGGAGGGGAAAAAACTCTTTTCCTGGGGAGAAAAGACGGACTATCCGAGTGGAGAGGACTGGCGAGGATGCGAGAGGCTGTTTGAGGCAGACGCTGAGCGGTGGACCAGTAAAGCACAATTCGCACACCGTGTCCTGCAGCATTTCACAATAATAAGAATCATAATAAAAAAAGAGAGGATACTCTTGTAGTACACCCGGCCTGGCGCCTTCTTCCTCCGCGCGAGCGAGGCTACTCTGCGGGAGGGGGAGGACTTGCTCTCTGCTCCTGCTCCCAGCATCGTCGAGCTTGGGCCGGCCTGGAGGCCCAGCCACGCGCAAAGGAGCCGCCACGAAGCTGGTGCTTTCCCTGGCTCGCCCTCCTTTCTCCTTCCACCGGTTTCTCCGCTGCGGGTGCAGGCGGGGGCTCTACGGTCGTCCAGCCGTCCAAGCTCTCGTCGAGGATCTTCTGGGGGCCACGGCCTAGGAAAACGGTTGGTCCGAGCCAGCTGCGATGTCCCTCCGGCCGCCTCCCTGGCCTGAGGCGCTGCAGCTCACCAGAGAGCTCCGAGGAGTCCAGACGGATCCTGGATGCGCGTTGACAGTCGGCGACCTTCGAGCCCCGAAGCCGCCCCTTTCCCCTCCCTTACCCTGCCGGGAATGCCAAAGTTGCTCCCCTCCTAGGGGTTCTGCCTCCCCTCCCCACATGCCAGGAGCGCACCAAGAGGAAAAGCCCCCTTGCGGGCCCGAGCTGGTTGGGGCAGCGCAGGAGGGCATTCACAACCTCTGGAGGCAAGTTGCTCCACTGATTAATTGTCCGCACTGTTAGGAAGTTTCTCCTTAGTTCTAGGTTGCTTCTCTCCTTGATTAGTTCCCACCCGTTGCTTCTTGCCCTGCCCTCGGGGCCTTTGGAGAATCTGCCATCAAAGGTCTATGAAGAGGCCAAGTTAGGGTTAGTCCCAAGCCTGACCCTCCCCAGCTGAAGCCAAGGTCCCCACAGCCGTCACCCGTCTCCCCCAAGCGCAATCCTCCCCCGGGGCCTTTTGTAAGGACAACTTATTTCGGTCACGTCTACTTCCAGGTTCGGCCGTCCAACTTTCCAGCAGTGGCCCAAGTCCGCTCCGGCCGGTCGGTCAAGGGAAGGCGAGCCTCTTTCTCGGGGCTGGAGGGCCGCCGGGCGAAGCTTTTCTTCTTGAGTCGGAAAGAATTGCGGATTTACTGCAACGGCCTGAATTCAGAAGGTCCCGGATTCCAGGCTGGGCTTTTGACTCTCCCAACACGTGAACCGCGATGGCTGGGAGGAGGAGAGTTGGGTGTCTGCTGTTAGGCCGGGGCTGGCGGGAGGAAGGCAGGCAGGCAGGCCTCCACAAACGGTCACGTTTCTAGCGCGCGGAGGGCACCTTGGTCAATGCGGCCCAAGAGGCCTCTGCGCGCTGTCAGGCCAGAGCTGGCCCGGGGCGCTTCTCCACCAGCCCCCTCCAGCCAAGCCTGGGAGAGCGAAGGGCAGCGAGGAGCTGGGTCTTGGAGGGGGGGGGCTTTCTAAGGCACCGGGCAGGGCAAAGCGCAGGGAAGCCGGGCCGCCTGCAAGAGTCGAAGAGGCAGAACGACAACTCCCGGAAGCCCTAGGGAGGGCAGGCAAAGGTGGGATCTGTACTTCAGCCCCCCTCCCCACTCCCGGAGGTTGATCCGGACAAAGGCGCAGAGCGGGCTCCCTCCGGGTGACCCTGGCCCCGCGGCAGACTCCGATGCCTGGGCCTGGGCGGCTCCGCTCAGCTTCCCGTTCTTCCGGGAACCGCGCAGTTGTCCTCCGCCCGGCGGGCTGCGACTGCGAGAGGCGGAGCGGCGCTGAAAGAAGCCCCGCAATTGCCGGGGCCAATCTGGGGTCTTCCCCCACCTCCGAGGCGCTCCTGGTGCCGGGCGAGAGGGGAACAAGCTGCTGCTTCCATCGCCCCCCCCCCGCGCCTGCCGCCTGCCCGCTGACTCAGGCGGGGGCGGAGGAGGGTCAGGTCAGGTCAGGCTGCCGCAGCGGGGGCGGGCCGGGCTCTTCCCGCCCCCGCCGCCCTCCGCTGCCCCTACAGGACAGTTGCACCGCAGAGACGGGGAAGAGAGCGCGGGCGAGAAGATGGGACGGATTCCTTTGGCTGCGATGGGTGTGTGTAGCGAGCAGAGATGCGGACGGGGATGTCACGTGCTCAGCCCCCCCCCCACTACAAATACCAGCAAACAATACTTTAAAGAAGGGAGCCCAAGCCCCCCTCCTCCTTGGAAGGAAAGGCTTCCACTTTCCCCCCCTTGGCCGGGCTGTAATAGAAGGGTTCCGGCCTCGGAAGTGACACGAACAGGTTCCTCTGCCGTTGCTTTCGACCGCGGCCAGGAAAGACCGGTAGCCTTTACCTGCCAGGAAATAGCGAGAGAAACGCCCAAAGAGCCCGAAGCGCGTCCCGCTTGCTGCTTTCGTCAGCGGTTCCGAGCGGGGGTCTGCAAAGGGGCGCTCCTGTCCTCCCCACCCCCACCGCCGGAGAGCACAGAGGGAGGAGGCGGGATTCTCCAACGCAGCTTTCCACGTGCCCCCCCCCGGAAGCATTCCCCATCGTGCACAGCCAGGCTCGAGGGCGATGCTGAGGGTCTTTCTCTACCTCCGCAGGAGCCTTCTGGGGCGATTTCGGCATTTCCTGAGCAGGGGGTGGAATCCCTCCTTCCTCCGGGGGTCCGCCTGCGTCTGCCCCGCCTCGGGGAGGGCCCCGGGGAGTCACCCGCTCTCCCCAGATTAGTTCGCCGATCAAGGTGAGATCTTGCAGCCCAGGGCTTCGTGGAAGAAAAGCGGGCGGCTCCGGCAGCCCAGGCAGGGCGGGAGGAACCACCGATCCCAGGACCCCCGCGCGGCTGCCTTCCGAAGGGCCCGGCGCGCTCCGGCGAATCGGCTCCCCCCGCCTTCACCCAGGCGCCTTGGTTCTCTGGCGGGGCGGCGGCTGCGGGGCCGAGACCACCCGGCGCACCTGTGGCGGAATCCTCCCCCTTCAGCCCCGCCCGCCCAGACTTGCAGGGAAGGAGCGGGAGGTCGGGCTGGCCGATTCCTGGAGGGGGGGGCGCCAGCAGGGTGGGGGATTTGGTGGGCTCTGCTCCTCGTGGGGACAAGCGGCGTGGGAAGATTCCTCCCCTGGGCAGAGTTTTTCCTCCGAGCGGATGGGCTCGGCTGCCCCGGCGAACTCTCGGTGCCTTCGCTGCCCCCCTCCCGCTCCGTTCGTGAGCGGACTTCTTCTCCCACGGAAGAAGCGGGCGGCCCCCTTCAAGGTCATTGCTGCGGGGCCGCCATTCCCGGACGGGCCGCTAGGTGGAGCAGCGCGCCAAGGTCCTGGCTTTCGGGCGCTGCGGCTGAGCCGGGAAGCTGAGCCCGAGCCGCGCCGGCGGGTCCTTTCCCATCGGCGGCCTTAATTCCGGAGGAGCCGCTGCCGTCAGTTGCTCTGATGCAGCCCAGAGGCTGTTCCGCAGCTGAGTAAGCGCTGCAGCGAGGACTCTTCTGCCGTGGGAGCGCCCCAAAGGGAGCCACTCTGGCCATCACGCCAGCGCACAGATAGGGGTTTTAAAAAGAGTTTAAACAGGCCGGTCAATACGTGGTCAATCAGCCTCCGTCACTCTGACTTGGCCTGTCAGGCTGCCCTGAGTGACACCTGGGGTGCTGAAACCTCTAGCAGAGAGGGGGGAGGGAGAAGCTGGCCACACATACAGCATCAAATGCATGTTTTAAAGGCTGCAGATGAAACATTTGAAGCAACAATAAAAATGCAACAAAATCCAACCAAAAGAATTATTATTATTACTCATATTTCTATGCCGCCCACTCTCCGAGGACTCTGGGCGGCTTACACCAAAGACAGTATACTAAATAGCATATTGCCCCCCAACAACCTGGGTCCTAATTTTGCCCACCTCAGAAGGATGGAAGGCTGAGTCAACCTTGAGCCGGTGAGATTTGATCCGCTGATCTGCTGAACTAGCAGTCAGCTGAAGAAGCTGCAGTACTGCACTCTAACCACTGCGCCACCTCGGCTCTATATGGACAAACTTTCTTGGGGAGTCCAGGGGAAAAAAAGGGCCAGGCATGTGCATGCAGGCATCCCCCCTGGGCAGTCCTCTTCTCCAACCTGGTCCTTCAGCCATACTGGCTGGGAATCATGGGCACTTGAGTCCCAATTCATCTGGCAGGCAGGCAGGTCAGTGGCGGGAGCCATGGGGAGTCTGAGCATGGGGGGCTGAATGGCAGAAGGGAAGCCGTATCTGGACAGTTAATCTCATGGCTCTTTCTTCTCATACCAGCTTCGGAAACACTTTTTCCAAGTTGCAAATCTTAAAAGCAAAAGCTTTTGTGACCTGGCGAAGCTGTGCCCTCACCTGGCCGCCTCCCAGGATGCACTGCAGGTCTCAGAGGCTCCTTTATGAGGCTTGGAGCCTTGGACCCTTGCGAGGTGGCACAGTGGGAGGGCAAGAGCTGGCAAAGAGCACCAAAATGCCAGGGACTGGCCCACTCCTCTCAATGGTGGAGCTTCCTCTCTCTCCCTCTCTCCCTGTCCCTGTCCCTCTCTGTCTGTGTGTGTGTGTGAGAGAGAGGGGGGGGGAGGGAACCTCCTCACCTCCCAGGGATGGCTTCCTGGCAGCCTGCCCATAGCTGGATCATGCAACACCCCAAACAGGCCCCCTCCAAAGCTGGTCACTGCATTTGCATAAAAGTCTGGTTTAGCTGGGGTTAAACTTGGTTTTGTGGCTTAGTGTCATCTGGCACAGCAGCTTTTTGGTATATTTTGCAAATCCAGGAAATGGATTTGGTCCAACCTCAAGTTGGACCATGTCAATTATAGTTAATACGTTCATATATTTATTCATATTATACTAATATATAATACTTGAGCATTAGTACCTCTTGACATTATTAGCACCCCAAGTATGTGAAGTATTAGTACCTCCTGATGGTGTCCTTAAACCAAAGGAAGGGGTGGAAATGAGCAGTTTGGAAAAAAGAAAAGTAAAAAGCCAAGAGAAATAA